GTACCCTGAAGGTGGCAACACAGGTCGATAGAGTGGTCAAGAAGGCATACGGCATGCTTTCATTCATTGGACAGGGTATTGAGTACAAGAGTTGGCAGGTCATGTTACAGTTGTATAGGACTTTGGCTCAACCACATTTGGAATACTGTGTACGGTTCTGGTCGCCACATTACCAAAAGGATGTGGATGCTTTGGAGAGGGTGCAGAGGAGGTTCACCAGGATGTTGCCTGGTATGGAGGGCACTAGCTATGAAGAGAGGTTGAGTAGATTAGGATTATTTACATTAGAAAGACGGAGGTTGAGGGGGGACCTGATTGAAGTCTACAAAATCATGAGGGGTATAGACAGGGTGGATAGCAAGAAGCTTTTTCCCAGAGTGGGGGACTCAATTACTAGGGGTCACGATTTCAAGGTGAGAGGGGAAAAGTTTAAGGGAGATATGCGTGGAAAGTTCTTTACGCAGAGGGTGGTGGGTACCTGGAACGTGTTGCCAGTGGAGGTGGTAGAAGCGGGCACGATAGCATCATTTAAGATGTATCTAGACAGATACATGAATGGGCAGGGAGCAGAGGGATACAGATCCTTGGAAAATAGGCGACAGGTTTAGATAGAGGATCTGGATTGGCGCGGGCTTGGAGGGCCGAAGGGCCTGTTCCTGTGCTGTAATTTTCTTTGTTCTTTGTTCTTTTAGGACTAGTGACCCTTCCTCAGAACTGTGGGAACAGGTTTTGTTGCTCCTTTTATTAAACACTTTCACTTTGTGCCTTCAGGTCTCGCTCCTTTCATGAGTTTGAACACACACTCCCTATCTGCTTGATCCAGTCCCTTCCTCAGAACTTTGACAACTTCCATGCAATCTCACCAGCCCCCTTCTGTCCAACGAGAACAGTCCCAACTTGTTCACTGTATTCCCATCGCTGGAGTTTCTCATTGCTGGGAGCATCCTTGTAAATCACTCTGCTCTCTCTCCAATACATTCATGTCTTTCCAATCATGTGGAACCCACACCCGTACTCACTGCTCCAGCTGAGGAACAGGACACTGTATGCTTTATTCACTGCTCTCTCTCCTCCCTGTCCTGCCACCTTCAATGATCTGTGCACAGATACGCCCAGCTCCCTCTGCTCGTGTTCCTCCATTACATTAGGACCTGTTATTTTATACAGTCTCCACGTGTACTTTGTACCAAAATGCATCATCTCACATTTCCCCACATTGAACATCAGGCACCATTCAGGATTCCTCAGTCCTTGCTGAACTGCAGTAACATCTGCACAGCTTGCAGGCTTCAGTTGACAAGTGGAAATTAACATTAGCACCACACAAAAACCCAAGCAATAACCATCTCCAATAAGGGACAATGTCCTGAGACATTCAATGGTGTTACCATCACTGAATCCCCCACTATCAACATCCTGGGGGTTATCATTGACCAGAAACTCAACTGGACTCACCACATAAACACAGCGGCTACGAGAGCAGGTCAGAAGCTGGGAATCCTGCAGCGAGTAACTCACCTCCTGACTCCCCAAAGCCTGTCCACCATCAACAAGGCACAAGTCAGGAGTGTGATGGAATACTCCCCACTTGCCTGGGGTACAGTACTGGTGGGGGACAGGTCCGTTGCCCCCAACAACACTCAAGAAGCTTGACACCATCCAGGACAAAGCAGCCACTTGATTGGCACTACATCCACAAACATCCACTCCCTTCACCACCGATGCTCAGTAGCAGCAGTGTGTACTATCTACAAGATGCAGAAATTGTACAAAAATTCAAAGATCCTTACACAATAAATTCCATCCAGAAGGACAAGGGCAGCAGATACATGGGAACACCACCCCCTGCAAGTTCCCCTCCAAGCCACTCACCATCCTGATTTGGAAATATATCGCCGTGTGATCGCTCTCACTGGGTTAAAATCCTGGAATTCCCTCTTTAATAGTATTGTCAGTCAAACCACAGCAGGAAGAATGCAGCAGTTCAAGAAGGCAGCTCACCCCCACGTTTCAAGGGCAATTGGGGAACAGGCAATAAAACCAGAGAGCGAGGCACAGATCCCGTGAATGAATAAAACAAAACTTCATTTGTCACTTACAGCTGGATCCACAAACGTGTGACTGTCGCTCTGAAATAGTGCTGTGGTCTGCTGACTGTACAGAGGTTGAGCAGTGAGTCAGAAAGACGCTGCTGTGTGTAAGCTGAGCTGTGCACCCAGGTACAGGCGCTGGGACAGGGGGAGAGCTGTGTGCCCAGGTACAGGCGCTGGGACAGGGGGAGAGAGCAGTGTGCCCGGGTACAGGCGCTGGGACAGGGGGAGAGCTGTGTGCAGCAGGCACAGGCACTGGGACAGGGGGAGAGCTGTGTGCAGCAGGTACAGGCGCTGGGACAGGGGGAGAGCTGTGTGCAGCAGGCACAGTGATATATAACCGTGTGGGAGGCAGGGAGCAGGGTCAGTGCCCAATGATCCTCACACTGTCAGCTCTCCCCAGCCCAGGGGGAGAGGGACACTCCGGACCCAGCCTCGGGGGGGTTTGGGGAGGGAGAGAGTGGGGGTAGGGACAGAGACTGAAGCCCTGCTACAGCCAGCACTCTCTCTCACACACACACTCACACACACACACACACACACACACACACACACTCACACACACACATATATATCACGGTGACACCATCTCCAACATTCCCGAAGGCTCCTTACACACGCTCCATGCCGGGACATCGCCGCCTCCCACAGTCGAACAGCCCGCAAGAGAAACCTCTCACTCAGTTGTGACATTGAACTGACCGAGTCTCTGAGCTCGCTGTCTGCCGCTGGGTCCTAGAGACTGCACACAGCAAGGAGAAGACAGCACGGACTCCCTCCCAAACCAAACCTCTGTCCCCCACCCCCCTGGGGTGGGGAAGGAGGGCAGGATGGGGGCAGGGAGCAGGGCTCTGCCCCTGGGGGGGGG